CCTTACCTTCCTTTGACAGCCTAATGTACATTGTACAGAGAGAAGATGCACCAAGTCTCCTAAGCTAAGAAAACAAACAGTTGCATAACAGGATAGCAATGACAGCCAGGGAAGAAGCCAGAGAATGGCATCGATATATCAGAAATCACATTAGAAATATTGAATGGAAAGATGATGCATATGGCCCTTGTAGGCTCTGTCCCAATTCAGCCTACAAAGCCATAGTTAAAAGAAAGTTGAAAGTAAAGCTATCCTCAAACATAGGAAAATAAGAAGAATGTGTTGGTGGGAATGATAAACCAAAACTCTTTGTTGTCTACTCATATACTTATTTGGAGCAGAACAGAAACTCACGAGAACAGAAACAAAATAGTTGCCTCTACAATACATTGGCAAAAAGTAAATCTGGACAACATTTTGTAGGACTCACCAATTCAAACTTTCTATCTAAACGCATTCTTTCTCTCACATTAAAGACTGCTGACATTTGTATGTCTTTATTCACTAATGGTACTGAACGTTTTGCAAGCCTCTATCTGTGTAAAAACGCCCTCTGCTTGATGTAACAAGAACTATCTGTACTGTTCTCTCTTGAGCATGTCTTAAATGTCTGATTCAATTTAGTCTAACATCCAGGCATTCTGGAGCTCATGGCAAAGTGCAAGAAGAGCAAGGTGGCTAAAATCAATTGCTATTTCTGCATTCAAATGACTGATTCCAAAGAACACTGAAGAACAAGTAGACATCCCAGAACTTCTGCCATTGTCTATGCTAGCGACAAGTGAAAAGACAGAGTATTTAGGTGAAAAACTTAATGCAATTAAACAGCAGAAAAGATTGACACTAAACACCTCTGGGGAATCTTTCCGGCAGACCACCCTAATAACACAACTAGCAATGGAAAGAAGGAAAAGGCTGCAGTTCTGCACACATAGCAGAACAAAAACAGATGTATCACTGTAGTTATGTTCTGGCCTGAAAACCATAAGAGCTCCTTCAGATACTGTACTTTGTTGGGGGAAAACGCACGTTTACTCAAATTCATACAGACATTTCCCGTTCTTGAAGATCTCTGTAAGCATTCTCACAGTCCAATGATTTATGAAAACTGCCCAGAGTGGACCTCATGCATCCCCCAGCTCCCAATTGTTTTGCTGCAGTAAGTGATCCGTATGCTGTAGATACTTCCAATATTCCATGGATAGCATTCAACAGAGCTGATTTCAGTTGTACTTAATCTGGTTCACCTTTAAGAGTCCACTGGTTTCAGTGAAGATGCTGCTGTGCTGTCCAGTTCGGACCAGCATGGCTTTTCTTTACATAACAGGAAATTTGTGGTTGCAATCAGGAGTGGCTTCTTTTCAAGTAGATGGATAATGATGTTCTTTGAGATACTCAATGAATCAGAAATAGGACTACACATATTAATCTTCACTAAAGAATTTTTGTGGCTGGCAACGTTGCTCTCTGTTCATTGTATCTAAGCTCTTAAATTAAGCTTTTAGTAATCTTCATTACTACTAAAACCAAATGGAAAACAATTAGACTTCACAGGAATTTCTGTATAGCATACATGGCAACCAGTTAGGAACTTTTGCATTCTGAATTGTATCTTTATTTCTTCAGGCTTGCATAGAAATATACTGCTCTAGCAGAAAGCCACATGATGATCTGTCAATGCTATTTAGTTATGCCTCAGTGAGAGGCATAACTCAGTGTCACCTTCCTACGGACAGAGGAAGCCTCTTCTTACTTTTATTAACATAACTACAAACACTTGGATAACAGAGACTGATTTTCCTGTCTTCTTTTAGCCTTGCACATCTTTTACACCATGGCCCTGAATCAGCCCAATGAATGTTGGGTCATCACGGGTGACTGCCGTCTTTTCTGCGGTCACCGATGAGCACCAGCACTTCTGTTAACCATAGGCACGAGGTTACACATGCTTACAGTGAGCCGGGTTTCTAGGATATAGGTGATTTTTAAGGAAATCATTATGGACAGTTATGATATTTTAACTATACCATCGATAATAGGTGCTAAGCTTTCTGCCCTAGTTGACACTGCTTTGAGCAAGTGAGTTGGACTGGATCACCTCCAGGAGCCCCCTCCAACCTCATCTGTTCCGTGATTCTTTCCTGTGAGCCACTTCAAGCTGAGATGAGGCCATTACTGTGGTGCTGGTATAGCAGTTACTTCAGGGCCTATATCAGAAAAGCCATCCAACAGACCCTGGAACATTTATTAACATTCAGTAACAAAGAGATCATGAGAGCTTGCAGGAAGCTGGTTAGTGACAGAAAAAATGGGGGATGGAAAATAAGATGGGAAAGAAGATTCTGAAGTATATTTCGGACTCCATTAAAAAAAAAAAAAAAAGTAGCAAGAAAAACCAGTTACTAGCTCCATACAAAAATTCAGGATCTCCACTCCATTACCACTTTAGTGCAGACTTGGTACAATACCTCTTCAGTCCCCCTGCAGAGTAGTACGAATGCAAACACAGTCCCCCCCAGTTCAGAAATGTATCCTGACATCAAGGCTGACAGTCTCGAGACAGGGAAAGCTCCTGCAGAACAAAGTAATGAATACTCAGCTGCCCCAGGAACATCTGCAAAACTCGCCACTTGCCTTTTAAAAAAATTTGAGTGTTTTTAAGATCTTGACCTTGATGAGAGGTCCAGTGATTCAGCTTTTCATACTGCAGTCATGCCCTATTCCAGCTATTACATGCCTCATTTCTGTTAATCTTCTCTAATTAGTTCTGCTTCTCAAGTGAAGTCTTTGAATCTAACATTTTCCTGTGCTAATAGTGAGGGCTCTGCTTTCATGTTCAAGGTCAGACTGGTGTTTCACCCTGTAAAACTCATTTGGCCTTCCAGCACTTACAGCTAAATATTGAGTTTAATTTTAGTCTCTCTCAAAGAATTTTACTGACTTTCAAGTTATTGTTAAAGTTGTGAATGTGCTAAAATCCAAAAAGAGCCATGCAAGTGTAGAAGAATAGGCTCTTTTTGGATTATTTCTTCTCCTTGCGAATACGCAGATTTTTTCCCATAAAAGCATCTTCATCTTTTCCCCTCAAGAAGAATTTGTTTTTACATAACTAGATTGAGTGTCAGTCTGTAAGTAGGTAGCATCTCAGTTTTACAGGTGAGAATCCTGAGTTTGAGAAGCGTGAGGTGAATACCTCTCATTCAGTGGGAGAGTTGTGAATACAATCCAAAATTATCTCCCTGTTCCATGTTTGAGCTACTAAATTTAGACCTTACATTGCTCACTTCATGTGTTATAAACACATGCATATATATATACACACTTACATAGGAAGGGAGATACTTCTCCAGTTTTGTAATGAGCCTGAAAGAAACTTGAGACCTATAATATAGCAAGCTTTCTTTTTTATACAATTATTATTTATTTGTTCTTGCAATAAGTACAGCCAATCCTTGTGTGCTGTTTCCATTGTGAACTGGAAGAATTTCCTTTGCACACCACTTTGATAACTCTTAGCCTTCTTTTAGGAAGGGATCAATGCACCCTCTGTAGTCACTTACACGCCATCCTACAGACTTCCCTTTCTGAAGACTGGTGAGATGCAGCAATTTCAGGAGGCACACAATGGCTGAGGTATGAACACTAATGGGAAGAGGCCTCTGAGGCACTCCTCTCCAGCTGATGCTCGACTCAAAATGGCAGATTATTTTCAGGTTAACAAGAAGTCCAGGCAAGGGGGAAACTCAACATTCAGAAATGTATGACTTAGGCTACAATAAGTTTAAGCAGCTTACTTAGAGCACTGCTGCTGCAGCTATGGACAAAATTTGCGGTTCACCTTAAAAACATCACCCAAGTTTGATGCTTTTAGATTTAACGTGGTCATACACAGCAAATAGACATAATACACGAATAGGATGACATTAAACTATCAAGTGTTTTAAATGGTTACTTTCAGTTATTTCATAAGCAACAGGTCACAAAACCTGCTAACTATTCAACCTTCTTCCTTACAAATAATAAAATAATAATAAATATGTAAGTGAGATATTTAGGAAATACTTAGCAGTTTCACCTTTAAATAGCACACTCCCAATTCTCATATCTGAAAATACTACCTGCGAAGCATTTTGAGAGGCTTATGGTAATGTAACCCTGAAAACTATAGGAGTGTTGTTGTTTGTTTGTTTGTTTTTTAAAAAAAGCTCTTCAGTGGGATTTATAAAGACATTCAGAAATCACTAAAAGCGTTTTTTTCCCTCCAGAGCTGAAATGAGAAAAAGCACCATACACATGCATAAAGAAAAAAAAATAATCATAGACTCACTGCGAGATCAGTGTTTCATTTTAAAACCTGGAAACTATTCTAAAAGTGAGCTGCACCTCACTCTGCAAGAGCCTTTTTGAATCCCTGTTCTTTGACTTTTGAGAAAGCTTTCTTGTTATAAACTAGAAGCTTAAATCAGAATGGTGTCCAATTGATAGGGAACAGTCTAGAAAATATGGGACTGGATTTAGCTAGGAAAAGCGCCCTTGCAAATTGTTTTTTTTTTCAGTCAAACTCCAAGTTGTCACCCAGACATGTTCACGCAATAACCTAGATATCCCCACTTTCTTCTCTCCTGCCTATGGTGACAATGATTTTATCATAGAAATATTTTCTCTATGGAGCACTGAGTACTGACAGTTTTCTCTTTCCCTACTTCAAAGCATCACCCTTATATATTTGCCTTGACACTGTCTTCACATCATCTTGACATTGTTCTGACATTTCCAAAGACTCAATCACTGTAGCAAGCAGCCAGGGCAATGCAGAGAAGGAAATTGTTATGAAAATTGTTAGGGAACTGTAAAGAATTGTATACTAGCAAAAATAAGATCTTGCTTTTTTAAAATCAGATTGCAAGCAGATTTTAATAAAATCTGCTTTATGAAAGCTTCAGCCAAGGCTGGCATAAAAACAGCTCAAAGAACTCTGTTGGCAGTTGTGGATTCTGTACCTGACATTCAGATGTTGAAGTGACAGCCACTCTCATTGCTCTGAGTTCAGGTCCTTTATGAAAGCAACATCAGCTCACCTCCTGGGGCACGCAGCCTGCTAGAATAGTATGAGGTGTTGACTTGAGGAACTCCTCAGCAAGTAATCTGCAGTCCTCTTCAGGGCAGCCAGGAAAAAAAAGATGAAAAAGGAAAAAGAGTGGCTGGAGTGTTACTGCCCTTTGCTAATGATAAAACACAACTTATAGAAGTAGCCTAGAGAGTATTGCCTATCCGTCGATCTAACAATCGTTCAATGTTGTGGTAGGAGGCCAAAAAATCAGCACATGTGATGTAACTTTAGGAAGTTTTACATACCAAATAGTCTAGGAGAGGGGGAAAACAGAGCAAACTACATTTAGTGAAACTCTGCTCAAAGAATCTGCTCAAAGAAAAGGGAGAAGAAAGTATTGAAGGGCAGATGTACAAGTCTGAAAGAAACTTGGTATCCAGTGCATCAGCATCACTTGTACATGCAGATAAAGCCCTCAACACTCCTGGAAGGCATTGCTTAGCCAGGCACTTAGAAATAAAATCAGGTCATTATAGCAACTCCAAATGTAAAAACATTAGCATTTGGCATCTTTTAGATGCCAGAGAGCAATAAACACACAGAAAAGACCGACCATTTGAAAAATTGTCAAAATACTGAAAATCTCAGGCATGTTAAGAAGGTGAGAACAAACTTTTAGTTCTGTTTGTACAATAGCTAGGACAACAGATTTCAGGAGATTCACCGATGTCAATAAGCTAGCAGGTAAAGAATAGAGCCAAACCTGGAAATCTGGAGCTACTCTCAGGATCTCGGTCACATTTTTAGTGAAGCTCATGGTGACCAATTTCTTAACTGTTTTTTTGGGTGGTTACTGACACAATGAAGTGCTTAGAGACCACATATGTTTTTGACAAGTCAAGCTTTAGTTATTTTGTCAAATGGCTGAAACACACCAATTTGAATAAGAATTCTGATCATGAGGAATCACATTATTCCCCACACAAACGCACAAGAAATCTCTGCATATAGACAGCTTTGATACTAATCCAGAAGTCTTAGTACTTAACACCTAGGTAATACAACAATTCCTTTATAGAACTATATGATACTTGCCTACGGCCCGCATCTTACCTGAAAAGCCCTGTGAAAGCACATCCACCACAAAGGAGAGCAGAACCCATCGGTAGGGCAGACTGCATCGCCCGGCAGGCAACACGCAGCGGTTCCTGGGGGTCAGACAAGCATAAGTTCTCCAGGATGAGCATAGCTCTCCTGCTCCTGCTCCATTACTGCAGTTTGCTTTCTTGCCCCCAAGGTAGCTAGGGAGGGGATGCAGTCTGAAGTTTGGTTCCCTTTGCTGCAGAGCCCCAGGCCTCCCTCAGAAAAGCCCTGTGCCTCGTGATCCAGGTGAACAAGTAGCTCTGTGTAGAGCCAATACCTGTGTAGGGCTGGCTGCCTCAGTGCTCAGGACAGTAGAGCTGGCAGCTGGGCACTAACTTCTTACAGAGCACAGGTTCTTCGCTAAAACCTCCCAAACTGCAGGACTAGCCTGCCAATGGATGCCTGAATAACCAGATAGAGGCTCAGGCTCCAGAGCTACAAGAAACCTCAGCCACCTCCCACCACCCACCCCATTAGCACCCTAATGAGGCAAGGAGGGGCAAGGGAGCAAAAGTGCTAATTTGTAATCTGCTGACTGACCTGCAGCTGGTTCTGCGTAGCTGCCCCAACAGGTATCTGCCCCAGGTTGCTGATAAAGTTAACTGTTTTGGTTTCTCAAATGTAAGCTATACATGCTATACATGGAAAATATAGTGATTCGTGCATCTAAGCAGGTGTATTTATCACAGCAAAGCCAAGAAAATGTTAGTAAAAATTTCTTGCTACAACAGAATATACAGAAATAAACCTCTCCTAGTCAACAAATGTAATTTATGTTGATAATAGATGACAAAAATAAATCAAAATATGTAATTATGGACATACAATACTGAGAGGAAACTGGGCATGCACAACTACAAATGGATGTTCATCAGTTTATTGCTATTTGCCACAGTTGCCATCAATTTTGTAGGCTAATTTCATATGTTCAAACATATTTTGTTCCTTTTAAATGAGACACTGTTTTAGGGACACAGTGGCAGTGCCTTGTTCTGTCCAAGAATCTCCATAATTAATAATCCCAACAATCAAAGGAAATGTGATCCTAAGAGAAAATGTCTTTTGAGAATCCCCAGGTGCTAAGTACCGCGAATTGCTTCCCAATCTGTTCTGCAGCCTCTCAGCACAGTACGTTGCGTGGTGCCCTTTGGGATCATCAAACAAGCTCCATTGTGGAGCTCTCAGCCAAAAGACCCCCAGTGAGACAATCATTAGATATTTATCATATATTTATTATTGCCATCAAATCTTTCTTTTTTTTTTTTTTTTTCTGGTCAGCCCTTTATTGTTACACAGATCTCATTTATTAGCATAATTTAATACAAAATTTATAGCATAATTTAATACAAAATTTATAGCATAATTTAATACAAAGTAGGGGCAGGATCCTGCCCTATAATGTCTGTACTGGTAAGTCAGGATGGGTGTCACTGTGAGAAAGGGCTCTGCACCCAAAATACAGTATTCTTTCTCCCTGCGTCCTGTGAGAGTATTTGTGTGACACAAGGCTCCCCTGTCACTGCGTGAGCATTTCAGCACAGCTCTGGAGGCATCTGGGTTACGCTGCCAGGCTGGTGCCTGGTGACCCTGTGTCTTGGGGCTACAGCTACTGCAGTCACTTCCACCACGTTCCTGTAACTTCCCACTGCTGCCTGGCAAACCCCAGTCTGCTTTGGCTCGGGTCTCAGAGGAAGAGAAGAGGAATGCCTGGAAAAGATCTGCGGTAGGAAAGGGAATTTGGAAAGGAGAGAGAGGAGTCAGACCTGTCACTTACATAAATAAAATAGAGGAATTAAAGGAGATTATGAACAGAGAAAGTAAAAAACTTCCCCCCCAAAAAATGACAGCACTATACTGATTGCTACTATATAGTGTTTAGTCAAGGTTTAAAATTTTATATCCTTTCACTAACAAAAGCCTTGCTGCTCTAATTTTGATGAAGGCTTGCTGGGTATTATTCATTTATAACAGGTATTTAATGCCCTAGTGGCAGGAGTTTTTTATGCTAAAACACACCCCCTCATAAGGCTTATTGAAACGATTTGCCTTTTAGTGATACTCCTCTAATGAAAGAGGAATTATTCCTTACTGTTCCCCACAGAAGGCTCCCGGGCTCCCTGACACTGGTGAATCTTGTTTTTCCACACCTCTACAATAAACACCTCACAAAGGTTTCAGAGAAAGCCCTAATGGCAGAGGGGATTTTCAGTTCCCATTCTTGCTGTTCCTGTGGGCTGGGTGACTCCCGTGAGTGTCAGCCCTGAGCCCTGGCAGCCAGATGCCCAGGGAGCGGATGTGCTCTGGGCCTGACAGGCAACAAGTTGCAGAAAACATCCTGCACTCGAGCTGTGGGCAACCACACAAAACCGAAGACGAGCTTGTGATCTGTCACCTCGAGGAAACTTCAGGATAAAAGGCCAGTCTGACATCCCACTTCTCTGTGAGGACAGGTTCCTGGTGCTTTGAGTTAGAATAGAGACAATAGTGCTGTAAAGAAATCAGCTGCCTTGGAAAACAGCTTTGGCTATGGCTGTACTGCTAAATGGTCTGGCACTTCTAGAGATGATACATCACAATACTTAAGTTTACAACCAGGCATAAAGACCTCAGCCTCTTCCTTACCAGGCTGAACAGGCCCAGTGACCTCAGCCGGTCCTCATACGTGTTCCCCTCTAGGCTCTTCACCATCTTTGTAGCCCTCCTCTGGACACTCTCCAGCAGTTTTTTGAATTTTCCTAGCAGCCTCCAGAAGTTCACAAGTATCTCTCTGTGGAAAAAGAGTTTCTGTCGTCCCTCAAGCTCAGTTCAAGACAAGTCCTCCTATGACAGAAAATGATATGAATTTTATTTTTTCTCTCAGCTTTTTGTTTCATTTGATTACACTGCGTTGCAATCAGGTGCAATTGAGTCCTAGGGTGTCATCAAGCAATAGTTTGGCCAGTCCTCTCTAGAACTGTACTATGGGCAAGGAAAGGGTGGTGGCTGTTAGGGAAAGCTGGAATGACAGCCCTGCGGGTTATACAGTGTGTTGGGGGTCAAAATACGGTTTTGCCATTAATGAGCAAACAGTTCTTGAAAAAAGAGGACAGGAAATCATGACGGTCTGCAGACCAAGACTAGTCTGAAATTTAATTTCATGTGGCTTAGAATCTTCTTAGGATCTGTTTCTGAACTTACTCTAGAAATAAGACATTCTCTCCTCATGTAAAGCCATGAACTAAATCTTTCATCTGTTTCAAGTCAGAATATTTTTAGGAGGCCACAATATAAATATACCATCTACTACTCTTGGAGGTGAGGGAAGCTACCCCAGAGGTCACCTTGTAGCAGTGAACATGGTGAAGCTTCACTCTTACCTGAAACTGTAGCACTCTCCCCTACTGGAAAACCTCACACTGTAGCATCATTCTCTCAGGTCTATGACTGATTTTTACCTGTGGGAGGTCAGTAAGAACAACTGGTACAGATCACGACCATATCATAATTCTCCACCAATCTCAAGGTGATGGTTTTGGCCTCACTGGTAGCAGCTGTCAGCATCAGAGCTCAGCAGGTGGAGTTTTTGGTTGCGCCAGTCTCCCCATTCAACTCTAGCCTGTCCTGCAATACAGGAGCTGCAACTTTCCTCAAGCAGTCTCTAAATCCTAATTCATGATTAGCTCATGTAAGGAAGAAATCATAACTGATTTCTACACAAAATGATTTAGTAAATAACAGAAAGGGCTAGGATGTGAACTCCCCTATGAAGGTTACTACTCTGCAGAAGACTGATTCCTCTGTACTCTGTGCATTGTAGCTGCACTGAGGCTTTCTTCTGACTCATATAGCATTTAAATCACTGCACTCTGTGTATCCAGCAAAATAATGCTAATCTGCCACAGGGCTGGTTGTTCTTTAAAGTCTAGAGAGACTAGAGAAGCAGCATCATGATTTTGATACAAGAATGCTGTTACATTGCATGAAACTGAAATTGTGTGAGAAAAGTACTATACATTCAGCAAGCCTGGAGGGACAGCATGCGCTCCGGTGGCTGTGTCATCAGTGCGACGCTAGTCAAAAGTTGGAGCTGATCTTGTTGTTCTGCTGCATTTTGTTGACTTCAGCAAAGTTTAGTCCCCAGCTGTGTTACTGAGAACCTACTGGAGGCAATCCCCACATCTGCACACATCAGTACACAGCTCTGCACTTAGAAACTTTAAAACATTTGCTTCTTTACAGACTTCAAAGCAAGCACAGCAAGCCAGCTGGAGGACGGAATAGATCTATAAAACCCTTATGCACTTTGTCATGGTTTTCGCCCCTGTTCTAGTATATGTTAAAAAACATCATTTTCTAAATGTGCATTTTGTTGCTAGAGGTTTGGCTGTGTGGAAAGGACGTGGCATGTCTGACACAATATGCCTCAATGGCATCCTCTGGTTATCCAGATGCTATAAAAACAAGTGCTCGTGCAGACAACGTTGAACTGGAAGTCATCAAAACCTGGCTGTCAACATATACCTGTTTGTGCACCTGACCATAACATTTTTCCTGTGACTTACCAGCATTTGACCAATGAGCTTACACCTATTTTCCAGAAGCAAAAATGTATCCATGACTTATGGAAATGAAAATCTAAGACTCCGAATCTGTGACTAACAAAGTGGATGTGAAAATATCCCTCACCTGAGGAGAAATTCTTGCCCTACATTACAGATTTTGATGCATTTCTAATGCAGAGGCCTTTAAGCGTATCCAATTTTGACTTGGAAAAAGGAATCACACCTGAATGGGCGTTACAAACATTTGCAACTATGTACCTTTATGTGCTAGTGTATGCCTTCTCATATTAAGAACAATATTAAGAGACAATATGAAGAAGGCCACCCAGCTGAGCCCCCAGCAGCAGGAGCCAGGAGCCCAGCAGCAGCCGGAGCCACAAACCGCTTCCGGACACCAGAGGAGCTGTGAGGCCTGCTGTCTCTCAAGGCAAGATCGGGCCTCTTGGCAACAGCTCCTTCACTTCCCAGTTTGCATTATTTGGAATTCAGATAGAACCAGGAGTAACTGGATTTCACCCAAATTCACGAACTGACAGTTTATGCTGTTACTCCCCATGTTTCAGAAAATCTCTTTGTTGATGCAGAGAAGCGAGACCATGTTTTCATCTTTCTGCAGCCCCTCTGGGCTCTGGCACCATTTCTCTTGTTAGTTTGCTATGTGCCTGCTTCCAAGGTGTGTGTTTTCCCCCTCCTTTTTATCAAAACTGTGAATGCAGGTGGTACCCATCTAGCTGCAAGCACTGCTCTCATTTTTCCAGTTCCTCAGCACCACATGCACCCATCCCTGGATTCACACGACAGGTTTGGAAATGCCAGACTGTGCTTCCACTAAATTTAAAAGGCGTGATGCTCCCATCTTTTAACTCTTGAGAGCAAGGCAGGAGCAACACCTTTCACAAAAGAATTCCAAACCCACCCATCCTAACAAGATCATCTAGGTGTGCCAAAAAACTTACTAGTGGTAGGCAATACACGATAACATTCTGAAGAGATGATTCTGACAATATTCACAACCCTAAATAAATCACCTAGTATTTACATCTTTTTTCTACAAAACGTTTTCTCTCACAGATGAGACCTTTACACACATGGCTCTGTGTCCTGAGTTACATGTCGAAGATGTCCCTCATTTTACTGAAGATCTAGCAGCAGTGCAGGCAAGAAAGGCATTGACTGAACCCTTAATACCTAATTAAAATTGTTTTAGATTCTTAGCACAATTGATTATCCATGTTCTTTGCCTCTGAAGAACTGATAGAAAAGCTGATTTGAAGCTGTCCCCCAGATTCCCTCCACCACATATTGCAGCTGTTGGTCATCTGCCCATTGATCTCCTTTGTCCCTGCGTAGAGGAATCCGGCTGTGTAGCATTAAGAATAAATTCTGCTGCATTAATACAACTAAAAATGATCATCATTACACTCCTGTCTTTACTCCTGTCCAGACTTAGAAGATAAGAACATACCATGAAACTATAAAAGAGGAATGTTATATTCCAATAGAGTGGATACAGTAGCAGGGATTGCATAGCAGAAACAGGTTCAGTTTCTAATAAATGTTTATGCCACTTATTGCAACTGGTAACAGCTACCTTCTGGGCTTGCATCTTATATAAACTAAAATCCCTGCGCACTGGAAAAGCACAATGATGGCTATGCACTATCAAATTAAACTACAGTGGTGTACTAGGTGTAAAGGTAAAAGAAAATAGTGGATGAACACATTTATTTGTATAAGAAACCAGTGTTCTTGCCCTTGACTATGGCTTTGCTAGTAGTACCATGCCTTGATGGCCAATTGGACCAAAAATCTTCCAAAGTCAGTCTGCAGGATGCCTGATGAGCTCACGGGCCTGATTTTCCTTCTGTTCCCAGCATAGACACTGCAGTATGATACAAAATAAAGTGAGAGCCAAAAAGTATTTAGTGAGCTGAAGCAAAGGATAAAAGTGAGTGGGGACTGTGAGAAGAAAACATTTACCTCATTTTGGAGATGTTTGTTTCGTTTGCCCACTGCTGACAACACAACCCACGAGCTAATGAGCTGCACTCACTCCTCTCTTTTTATCACTTGCACCAGCTGGAAAGAGTGCCAAGCAAGCGCCTTTGAACTAGCACACCTCACTGCGGCTCACTGGGTAGCCTCCACACGGCTGTTTTGTAGGAAAGCCTGTCAAATTGTTGCTGTGCTTGGCATAGTCAGTAGGTGTGGCTGTAAGGACTGCTGCTGAAGTGCTCATAGGAGAAGGCTGGGATGGCACAGAGATAAAAAGACAGCAAAGGAAAATGACAGCAAGCAGTAGCATCCTTCATTCTTGGGGAGCAGCACCAAGTTAGTGTGAGCTTGCAGAAATGAGAGGAGAAGGACGACAGGGAGACACTGATTTAATAACCAGTTCTGTAATTTGAATGACAAATAGCTTTGATCTTAAGGTGTTTCCTAAACAACATTCAACAATTTTAATGATATTCGGTCGTTATTCTTATGCTAATATAATACTTCTGCCTCAGGTATGTTGTTAATTTACTTTGCTTTTGCTGATACAAATGTATTTGAAAAGAAAACTGTCTTTCTCAATAGTAATGGAATATTTTGTGTAACCGCCTTTTTTCTTTTGTGCCTGTGTGTAACGGCGGTTACTATGGTAATATTCGTGATTCAAGATTTAAAGCCTGAAAGTGGTTTCTATAACAACATGCTAGGACATTTTGGACACACAACTGAAGTTAGGAATTCGAGATTAACCCTTTATGACCACAGGATTTGCAGCCCCAGTGACAAGCTCTTGTTAGTTTGTCAGAAGTTTGCTCATACCTTCCCAAGGTACACCTCCTCACTGAGCAGACGGAGTACTAAGTCCAGCTGTGGACAGAGCAGGTCAGGTGCTTCCATCCCAGGTGAAGTTTGTAAAGGAGAAATAATACCACAGTATCTACAGGCTGCTCATCACATTAAGTAATTAGGACAGTAGACAAACATATTTGGCGATGGACTGAGTAGGGATGAAATAGTGTTAGTGCAATGTTTAGGAAGTTTGAGATTTCAGTCTGGAAATCAGAACTGTGGGGAAAAAAAAAAAAAAAAGTGATCTATTCTCAGACAATCTTAATGGAAAAGCTATTTTGAGGGCTCAGAGAACCCCTTACCTGACTCCATTTTATCCAGCATGGCATGTTCTTCTGTCCTTCCCCCTCTGCCAAATCCTGATCCATGAATGGCATTTCTGCCTTTCAGTTCATGGCAAAAGTATCCGATCCCATCTCTGTCACTGGAGATTATGCAGCTGTACTCATCGCTTATCTAGTTCTTCAAGATATGTAAGATTGGATATATATGCACACCCACAACTTTCTAAGGTTGTCTTCGCAAGGAAGTTATTGTCATAGTGATGAACTATATTTTCCATGTCATGGTGCACTGCAGAGAAAACAAGATATGCCTAGTTATACCAAAGCTATGTGCTCTTCAATGCAGCACTAAATGGCTTGGGATATATTTGAATATTTCCAGTTAAATGCTAATTATTTCAAGATCTCACTAAAACTGCAGAGCTTGATATTTCAGTAACACATTCACACACTTGTTTTAAAATCTCAGGGACAAATTTTAAATAAGAAAAAAATATAAGCAGTCAAAGATTCTTATTTCTCACTCAAGACATCAGACTACCTAAGCACTCACTACCCTCAAGTTATCCAATGATTTCTTTATTCAATTTATTTGATCACAAGGTAAACCCTCCATTGTGAACAAATGCTATATGCTGGTGTTGCGTCAATGGGAGACACTGAAATAACAACACTAAGGGAAGCAAGTGTTGCTTTGTTTGTCCCAAGAAAAATTTCTCTCTCTCAGTGACCGCAATTAAGGTATCAATAGTATAAGGTATTTTGGGAAACTAAGAACAAAAACCAAACAAACAACAACAAAAAAACCACCCTAACTCAACACACATTCCCTAGGTTGCTTTTCTGTTGTTTCGGTTTTATAACTTTTTTTTTTTTTTTTTTTTTTTTAACAGAACTGCAGACCTATAATATCTTAAAATTCATGTCTTTAACAATGTTTACGTGTTAGAAGACAGTATCTTAGTTTCCCTCTGCTGGATCACGGATGGTTTCCCAGTACCCATTCCTTTCCAAAATGTATGTGTTTCAAACAAAAAGTCATATTTTGCTGTGATTTACTTCATCTGTTTTAGCTGGTATGGCTTCCTCATTTTAATTCAAAATTTAGTTCAAAACTTTGAAGTAAAAGCTGTTAAAAACAAAAAACAAAACAAACAAACAAACAAAAAAAAAACAAAAACAAACAAACAAACAAAAAAAACAAACAAACAACAACAAAAAAAAACTACTCCCCAAAGCACTGTAAACTCATCATTGTTGATGACTATGGGCATCAAGAAGATAGCTATCTCCTCATAGTATTCTTGTTTGTTCGTTTTTCTCCCTAGAAAATCGACTGCCTCCGTTAAGAAGGAAAAATCTGCAGCATATGTAAAAAGACCCTGAAGCTGTTAGTGTTGAGAACCTCTGTAAAGCTAAGAGTCCTCCTTCGGGGAAAAAAGGCACATTTGAAGAATAGCATTGCGAATCACAAGGAGCCTCCAGGCATGATGAGGTGATTAGCAAAGTGCAGGCAGGACCACATTCAAGTGAACTCAAGTTCATAACAACATGATTAGCAGTGATGGAAATTTGATTTTAAATTCTGTTGCTGATTAAAATATTTCACCAACTTGTGCGAAGAGCCACAGACAGAAAGAATAAATTTTTACTGAAAGAAATTTCTGCCAAAAACAACCCAACACAGCTTGATAGGTTTTGTGTTGGACTTTGAATGGCTAAGATTGCAAATCAGATTCTCAGAACTGGGGAACTGGCAATTTACTTTTTATTTTATCAGTTTAATATTATATATTTCAAAAAGCACACAGGAATGCTCTAACTCTGATTCAAACAGAATCTAGAAAAAAAAAATACAACACTTCACATTATCAGGAAAGATTTGAGATCAGGCTCCTCAACATTACCTGCATAACTGAAGAACACTGGTTTCTTTGAGAGGATTCAGAAGATCTGTGCCAAATTGTCTCCGCTTGTTCAGAACTCCCACCCTGTTTCCTTTCCCACTAATTTAATTTTGCCCTGTTATATTCATTTTCGTGTATTTCCAGCCTCCCAAACCATATTGTATTGCTTCATTGCAGCAGTTTCTGAACACTGAGATGTCTGTACCACAGCAAAATCATGTTGTTTTTTGTTTTTTGTTTTTTTTTAATTACCGATTAGTATATGAATAATCCAGAATTTGTAATGAACAGCAGCAGTTTAACTTAATCTTGTGTATGAGGAAAAATAATTACTGTCTCTCAGCATTTCTTACGTTTAGTAGTGCCAGCTCTTGTAAACGATAGAGAATACTGACGTTTTTGGCAATACTGACGATTTTCCAGTAGATGGCAAGCTTTACTGCAAGGAATTTTCCTGCCAAATATCTCAACTGCATGAAAAGGACTTAACCATGGGGTAAAATGCTTGGCACAAATTCCTCTAGTAATTAGATTAATGTATCAATGTTTATAAAGAGACAGATAATTACCTCAAGTGTCAGTCAGTGTAAATCAAAGTGATCAGCATTTTGTTTCTATTTTTCTGATGTTACATATAAGTTTTAAGAATCTGTCAGAACAAGTCACTGCTGAAGTGATCCTGAGTGGGTAAGCATGAAAATGACTCCCCTGCCTACCAGAGCTACTACACAAGGCCTTTCCAGATTATCCTTGTGCAACATTACCAAAACTAAAGCCTCCAAATACATCAAAACACTTATTTCCCATATAACTCTTTCTGTAAATGTAGTAGAAAATATTATTTAATCATTAGCTTAAACTGAGCCAGCCTTTTCATCAGACACGATCACACTGCCACATCACATCCTATAGCATGGGTGTGTTCAGCTCCCACATGCTCTGATCTTCCTCTGCTGTTTCCATGCAGCTCCCAATGGCATTAGGTTTCCTATTCCATCCTTCCACATGGCTCCAGAGCTGCTGGAAAGCTGAATGGTGACAGGGGAGGAAGAGACATACTGCAAATAACTTGTTTAACATAGGTGGGAAAGCAAGTGGAAAAATGGATCCTCTAACTATGAAGACTCCAAGAATTTTCTGAAGCACTTATATGATTTAGAAATATGACTTCTATCAAAAAATCATGGGGTGCACTGGTAAACTGCATACCATTTGATAACCACAGTCTGATAAATTACCCTTTGATGATCACCTCTTTAAGGTGCAGTTGTGATGAATCTTATTACCCCTAATAAAATCTCTTGGTCCTAGTTTTTAAATCACAAGAAGCTAAAACTCAGCAGTGATTACATCTCTGCTAAGCCCATCAGAATCCTAGTATTCATCAATAACTATATACATAATAATAATAATAATAAAAACCAAAAAACAACAACAACATGAGAATGAAGATAAAACTCCAAAAATTGCATTGCTTTGCTGTAATCTTTATGTACAAATCAGACAAAAACATCCCTGAGGAATACTGGTTATATTGTATTGTCTGTTGGCAATTTCTGCATAAGAAACTTGTTTTTATAAAAGCCAGAGGTGTTCAACTTAAAATGCTTGTTAAAAAAATCCAGAACAGGTTTACCTTTCTATATTTTTCCCATTGCAGTGTCACCTTGGAGACAAATTGATTGCCTTCATTACTGACTGTGCTTTTAGGGCTTCCTTTTCTCTTCCCTCAATTTTCATCCACTGTTAACATCTCAGTGAAGTATGCAGATTTGTAATCTCTGCTCAAAGCTAATATGTTGCTATCAAAACTGCAAACTGGCAAATTCTTCATTTTCTCTCATATACAGTAATTACAACAAATTGAGATGTTGCATGCATATCATCTCTGGAAAAGCAGTAGTAATTAACTGAATTGCTTCTCAAGTCACAGTAGTCCTACTTAAGAAATACTTCAGTGGTTGACCTTACCTCTTGCAGTTTACGTAGTATAATAGTTAGATAATGCTGCAAATTAATCACAGTTAATTTCTTCAAATTTGAAACATATCTTGAAACATGCAATTTTAATTAATTTTAAGTAGACAGACTGAAGAGAAAGCTCTGTGAAGTTGGACAGTCCCAATAAAAATGTGGATTGCGAAAGTTCTATTTGGGTCTTACCCTCTCCACAGCCTGGAGTCAGCATATCCCCAAGTAACGAGATTCCTAAGTGTTGCAGACTGATGATTAACACCATTTCCGTTGGCCCATACCAAACCAGTGAAGCTGTGATTGCAGAGTATTCAGCCCAGGTCAGCAAACCCACCTCAACCACTCAGCATTAGCCATCCTCACTATTATTTGGTATAACTAGCACTCAGTTAAAGGTGGTATACCTGCTTAGCCAAACGTGGACATTCATTTTGTTACAGAGACAATTAATCAGGATTAAAACAATTACACATTTTCATAGCAAAATTCTTTTCTTTTACTGGAAAGAACGCCCTTCACTGCTCTCACTCTATTAGTGTTTCTCAGTTGTGTTTCATGAACAATGTTGGTAGCAGCTCACTCTTCCTTGATGGGAAGTGAGAAAATAGCTATTGTTATTACCTGTTAGTCTTTACAGCAGCAGCAACTATAAGTTGTGTTTAATTGATGCCAGGAGCTCAGCTCCTGGTGGATAAGGGAGATATTTATACCATGTCCACTAAATATTTATGCTATGTCCACCATGTCATTCCAGCCTCAGAGGCAGAAAGGCTCTCAGAGTACTATTTTGAGTCTCAGGTATCTGGGAGATTCTCTATGGTGGAAGTGCTGTACAGATGTCAAATTAGTAGTATTTATAATTGGGAAGTCAAAACCAACTCAAAGTGCATAATGGTTTGAGTCACTCATGAGAGACTAAAGCATACCCAAGTCATTTAGCTTTGTTGAACTCCAATACAAAAAAAACTTTCACTACAAAAGAATCCAAAATGGTATTGTACTGAAAAATGTTGTTCAGTTCCTCATTCTAGTAAAACAAACAAACAAAAACACAAAACAAAACCAACACCACCTGTTTTAAACATATGTAAATGCATTCCATGTTGCTGGTCATCTCTGTTGACAGTCACAAATATTGTTGCAACAATATCGTTGTTAGTGTTAAATAATGTATTCCCAGTTCTGGCACTACAGCCATGGCTGCTGGAAGAGGTGAGAATTTTGCTCATATTTCCAGAACTGTTTTCACTTTACATTTATTAGTCTACCAATATGTGCTGCACATTTACTGGCCCTGTTTTCTTCTCAAAATCCAGCAATTGGAGCTATTAAATTTAAAACAATGTGGTAATAATTGCACCTATTTGACTCTGGTTTACTCCAAATGTGGTAGAAGTCCTCAGGATCTTTTTCGTTTCCTTCCTAGAGTCACTTTGCATGAGAAACGATTCCAGGTGCCTGTCAAATTCCTGCCAAAAGAACTCTACGTGCGCTGCTGGTCACAGGGAGGACACTTGCCATTGTGCAGATGTACCACAGGACACTATGGAGGAACTCTGCAATAAAACCTCTGACCCTTGCTCCTCAAACCCTTGTCTTCAAAATGCTACCTGTTTAAGCTCTCCTGGAAACCTCAGCTTCACTTGTGAGTGCCCCACTGGGTATAATGGGTCTACTTGTGAAAGAGCCGTCAGTGTGTGTGACACAAACCCCTGTGAACATGGAGGCACCTGCCAAAATGGCCTGGCTGGGCCCATCTGCCTTTGTAGCGCAGGTTACACAGGTACACTCTGTGAAACGGATTTTGATGAATGCATTTCTGAACCATGCCACAACGGAGCTGTGTGCAGGGATGGGGTCGATGAATACTCCTGCTACTGCGTCCCAGGCTATCAAGGCAAGCACTGTGACCTGGAAGTGAATGAATGTGTGTCAGATCCATGCCTGAATGGGGCAACGTGTCTCAACCAGATAGGAAAGTACGACTGCATCTGCCCACTTGGGTATACAGGTGAGTGCCATTTTAAACAATCTTTGTATCATGGAGAACTGCCATACTTGTGTTCTAAGATCTACTACCACACACACCTATTTAGTCATACCTGTATTACCACATTGCCTTCAGCCTCTGCAGCTGTTGGTATATTATAGGTTTTCTTATCACCTATCTTATCACCTGCAACTTGTGATACTAGATGGAGAAAGACTGAAGAAATCTCTCATTTTCCAGAAACTACAGAGCAGTTTCATGAACATCAAGTTGTGTCACAGGTCCAGGTTAACTTTCCTTTAAACAAAATATTCTCAGAACACATGTCCTCAGAGTGCTATACATAGCTTTTAGCTCACAGACAAAACCTATGTTTGGCAGTGATAAAAATTAGATCTACTTTGACTTGGTTGATTTGCTAATCACAACAAAGAGTACTCTTAAACCTAGACAACTGATTTGCAGGAGTCTTTTCCTTTAAAACACTTTTCTTTCATTTTTTTCCCTTTTCTGAGCAAAAGCATCTTGTTCAGAAATTTTCAAAACACCCTATTCAAATGTTTTCCTTTATGTACACTCGCTAATAGGCCTCTTTCTCCTCCTCTACTTTACCGAACCTCAAGACCAAATAAATTAATCTATCACTTTTCCTCAACACCAATTCTCAGGATGGCTATGCCTTTCTGGTTTAATTCTGAAAATTTTTCTAAGCTGTATACCCTACTGATGTCATATAATATAACTGTTTTTTTTTCCCTTTTATTATTTTTCTGATCCACTCCATGATTCAGTCTGGCTGAGGCCACAGTTAGATTTCTTTTGCTGTGGCAAAAAGAAAACTTTCCAAAACTCATTCCTGGCTTCTTTTCTGGGAAACAAAAGACCAATATTCCAGTGGTTTCCAGGCATGCAAAAGAGTGTCTCTCCCTCTGTAGGGCATGTAGGCTGGCTATTTCATAATAGCCACATAGGTTGGTTATTTCATAAAATATTAGAAATTACAGCTGGATGTTCTAGAAGAACATACATGCACATTTGTCAAGAATGGAGATAAGCTGTTCATATCATCAAGAGAAAACATCCTTACACTCAATTCTTATTCTGCAGGTTTTTAGCAGTTCAAAGTTGACAGCATTGTACTTCACCATATACTGGCCTTCCAGTTGAATTGGAAGGTTTAGTATCAATGCAACCTATGAACTCTGATACAAAAAAAAAAAAAAATAAAATGAGTAAGTGTAGTATAAAAGCCACAAAAGAAACATTTTCAGAACCAGAAAAGGGTAAGACAACAAGGACTAAGGAAAAAAAAAAAGTATCCTGCTGACAGAAAAAAAAAAAAAAAAAAAAAAAGACATTTTACAGTCAAGTTTTTAGCTTTCCAAGTAGAAACAAAAAAGTCAAAAACATGCCACTGCATCTGCAAAAGCCATCCTCTCCCTGCCTACAGGCTATGCATGTTCTGAACTCACTGCTTAGCCTGTGTAAACTTAACTTTGACTAACCTTGTTGGCTTCCTTTCCTCTGTCCAACCAGAAATAGAGGATTCACGTAGAACTAGAACATTACCTAAATTATATAGTAGAAAAAGTATCAGGTTCCAAAACTACCCATTTTTTGATAAATTTCCATTTCATCTGGCCCCATTTTAAAGAAAAATCACACCCATACCTTGTCTACTTTCTCTACTGGAGAACATATAATGCTGTAGGAGACAAATTTCAAAGCTATATTCAGGGACAGGACAGAAAGAGAGAGCACATTGAATCATTAAAAAGAGAAAAGGGGATGCATTTTAGTGATAGATTGCCAGTCAGGTAAGCAAAGAAAAAAGCATCTTACAGCACAAGAAGGGAAAAAAATAACAGCTATTGCTTCAAGTGATTCAAATGAATAAGAGATGTGGTTTACAGCTCCATCCCAAAATCCCCATGCAGGAGGGGAAGTCAGAGGTAAAAAGCAGCTTTCCAGTGTCTGACGCAGCTCTTGTTGGAAGCCAGCCCTCAGTTAGCGTCCCTCATGAGCAGGGGGAATGTTGTTTGAAGGAAGCTTGTTACCTTCCTGCCACCCCGCTGCTAGCAGCGGGTGTCCGAGCCCGGGCCAAGCGAGGGGAAAACTACACAACCCGGGGAAAGCTGAAGAGCAGAAGGAAGGAAAAGCCTATTAACAAGCAGCATGGCTACTCTGCAATGATCAGACTCAGCCCAGACCTCCTGTGGTATTCAGGAAACTGTATTTGTTTAACCTGCGCTGTCAGTAAGGTCCAGGCCTGGATCTGTAGCTCACAAACTCAGCTTGAAAGACAGAATATACACCTTAGAGGCAGAGGGAGAAAACATAATAAAATAATAAAGCCCAGACAAAGAGAAATGAAGATTTAGATCAACACAAACTGCTGGAGGGAGCTCACCCTGCTGGAGTCACCCTGCTTTTATCATGCCGTTCTGCTGTTTTCCAGGCAGATGCTGTTTGGTCTCACCAAAAAATAAGCAGCAACACTCGGAGTGCTCTGCACTCAGCACAAGCAGAGTTAAGAAATGAGGGAGCCAATGAAGGAAAAGAAGCCTAAAACAAAGCAGAAGAGGCTGCAGTGCTTTAACGTACAGCTCCGATACTGCTCCCAGCAGTAGAGACTAATCATCATAATTCTGTAAAGGAGTAGCTGACTGTTCCTTCAGCAGTAAAACACCAGCTTTTAAAGGCTACTTAACCAAATGATTTATCAGAAGCATTCTTTTTTGTTGTTTTCTGCACCTTGCTGTGAGTTGTGCTAAATGCACAAGCCAGGGGGATTACTGGATGAAAGCCCTGAGGTGTCCCCACTGGTAATAAAAATCCTCATTTACTCTGTCGGGGGATCTTGCCAACCATTATTATCCTGGCCTGACACCATGAATTACTGTGGGAAGTCATCCAGCCTCATCTCATTTCCCTAAGATGTTAAAAAGGTTACATCTCCTGATATGGAGGTAGAGAATGCACAGTAAATCTGCAGCAGTAATGTTAACCAAATGCTTGAGTTACTGGCTGCAGTTGCTACTTGTTTCATGGGCTATGACTGCTATTTTGTATGATTGGTATGCTGCAGTACTTCTCAAAATAGCTGAGAAATGTCACACATAATTCTTACACAAATGGAAGAGGTTAGAACGCACTGAGAGCCAAAGACTGGAAAATTTAGCATGAAATTTGCAGTTTCTATGATAATGCTCTGCATGTGTGAAATTATTTACAAGACATGTGTCACGCAGCTGTTAAATAATGAAGCTCAACTGCCTCACCGAAGTTTTGCTGGCTACCTTAATCAAATGCATTTTTTTCTTCCATTGGCCTAATTGCACTTGCTTTTAATTCACCCCAGCAGGGCCTAGTGCCACAGCCTGTTAGCTACCCACAGCTAGGTACGTTAATTACCTTGCTGGGCTCAGCTGAAGCCAGTCCTCCACTGCCAGAGAACAGCTTAGTGGGAACTACCAGGGGCAAGGGGCAGTTCCTCCTAAAACCAGTCTGAGCACCAAGACAACAGCAGGCCTTTTACACAGGGAAAATCATTTCAGCATCAGATGAAATAGGTACAGTGGGCGAGATCCATTCTTTGTGCAATACCTTTTTACTACGATGTAACTGTGATGAATTCTGTACAATATAAGGAAATTATTACCTGATGAATCTTAGTTCTCACACAGAATCCTTATCAGTAACGTAGATGCCATTTAGAGTAGATACATCTTCTCTAGTCTTAGGCACTAAGATGAAAAATCCCACAGACTTCAGGGTGAGATGTCAAACTACCAGCACAGAAACATCTATTCCACAACCTAGCCATAGGTATAAATTGTATTCAAATTCAAAACAGGCACTATGCCAAAACTCTATCAAAATCACCAAGTGGCAAAAGCTGCTGCTGAATCAAAGTGTTACTGCTGCTGTCCTCATGCCTGCCTTTCCACTCAGCCTCTTCATGCTTCTGCCTCCACCTCACACCATCTGCCTGCCCAGAAGTGGGGCAGCAGTCCCTGCCCTGGTGCCCTGCCTGTGCTCCTCCTCCCCTCTTTCATCAGCAGCACTCCTGTGCCTCCTCAGTGAAGCACCGAAGTGGGTCAATACAGGTCTGTACTCAGAGAAAGGATGAGGGAGCCCCCTTGCCCTCCCCACAGAGGCACTGCAGCCTCTACCACTGGGTGAGGTACCTTAAGTACACGCTTCCCTTCCCAGCGAGCTTGTGGTAGTGTTGCACCAGTAGCAAATGGCACTGTCCAGCCAACAGCAATTGTCTGCTGCTTCCTGCAGTGCTGTGCACAAGTGCTCAATAGGACTTATTTGAAAAGCAAGTGGTAAAGGTAATAATAATCTTAGTACTTCAAAGAAACCAAAGAAGTTACAAATACCCCTTCTCAGTCTTTCAACTCAATGTACTCCTGGGGCTTGGTTTATGCTGAAACTGCCTGCACAAGGAGGGAATGCCTCTGCTCTTAATGGCTTAGCCCCACGCAGTAGCAGCGGAAGGGCTTGGTGGCGCCTTACCCCCCCTTTCTGGCATATGATATTTGGCATACAGCATATTCATGACAGAATGTTAGGCTGAGGTGCAAATACAGATCTAATCTTTTCATCTTGCTTCCTCACATCTAAGAAAATGTGACAGCAGACTCACTAAAGGCTAGGGAGGAATTCCCCCTGTTTGCATGGCATATCACATTGGCTAGATGCATTATAAAGAGAGAAGTTTTCTTCTGAGGCAACATTGCCGAAGGCAGGTTACTGGGCTTGATAGATTAAAGACGTGAACCAAAACAACAACGCTATGGTCTCATGTTAATCATCAGGCTGTTCTCAGGCCTGTAGTCTTAAATTTGGTTGAACTGAGGATCAGTTGAGCAGGGCTTGTTTTGTCACATGATTTTTAGTGTTCACAGTAAGCTGTTAACAAGCTCTGGCAGATTTACGGTCACTAGACATACTTCTGCAAACACATTGTTTACAATTACAGTGAATTCACAGGGCAATGACCACAGAGGGATTGCTCACTATGTCTGGATGTAATGTACATTACCATAAAGCTATAAGGGATCGTTCCTGTGCTGGGATCTCACACAGGCTCCCACTGAAAGCCATGGCTAGCCAGATCCACAAGCCAGAAGCCCGGGACTGGTGACTTTACCAACTGAATGTTTTATATGCAGAGGAAGCTGTAAGAATATATTCTCTAAGTTCACAGTAATAATGTTTCATAACTACTAGAAAGATGAAAAAGTGCATGTATTTTAATGAGTTTTAAGATTAAATACAATTAAAGTTATGAGCTAACATCTTCAAATAATATGGATTATGGATTTTTATTCTTTTTTATTATTTTTAACAAGGGTACTACATTCAAAAGGGTCAAAATAAATTAGTGATCAAGGAACAGTGCTAGATATTCGTAATGTCTAAAAAAAAGTTAGTGTTTTCTGAAAAATGCTCTTAGAAGGCATGAATTTCACAGCAGGACAGAGCTGGATAAGCAGCATAAAGAATTACAGGTGAGCTCCTAAACAGACTACTAAAATAATACCAATAATTACAATGTGGCCATTCCCATCTTTTGAAAGCCTGTGCCATCTTGGACTGCAAATTTCACCTAAAAATAAAGATAACATAAAAAATACCTGCAAAATCTTCTTCTGCTGCAGATTCTCTCTCAAGTAAGAAATGTCCCTGAAAACTTCTTACAGTCCTATTGCTGCTTTGGTTAGCCAAGCAAAGGACAGTGAAGTCAGCTTAAAAGTGGCTTCTGAATTAAAATTTGCTAGCCTGTTTTGTGGCTGATACCTTAGCTGGTAAAACAAGTTGATTTGGCAGATATTTTATTTTTTTTAAATAAATCACTGTTTCTTGCCCAAAGTAAGAAATAATTAAACATACAGAACCCTGGAATAATCAGAGCAGGAGCTGCTAGGTATAATGAAATCTTTTTTAGAGTCTCCCAGACTGGATTAGAGACAAGAAAAGGGACTGTGTACGTAACTTGCCAACTATCAAGCATAGCTGTGAGGTACCATTAGATCGGATGGAGCTCCATCAGTTACCTCTGAAGAGCAGCTTCGAGAGTCTGTCCTGTTGCGAGCGCAGCATCGTAGGCTGGTTTAGTTACACATTGCTAAATCTTTAAACAAACAGACACAACTAAGCAGCAAAAGAGAGGGAAACCTGACATCTTCCCAATGGATTCAATTAACTGTGCAGCTTTAAATGGGCTCTTCTGAGGTCATTAAATTACTAATCATGTCTGTATTATATAAATTCGATGGTGGCACAGTTTGAAGTGATCTGAAAGCTAGTTCATTCTGCTCCAGTGGTCAAGCTGACAAAAAAGTTGTTGTACCTACTGTCATGAATAACACCCGAGCTCTTTGGTGAAGCCTCCCAAGCCTTAAAAGCGAGCATCTCGCTAAGTGCGGGGCTTGCCTGCTTTCTTTGCCTCCGCAGGTACGAACTGCGAGCTGGAGATCGACGAGTGCCTGTCGCAGCCCTGCCTGAACGGCGCGACCTGTCGCGATGCCCCGGGAGCCTTCTCCTGCTCCTGCGCTCCGGGCTTCCAGGGCCACCTCTGCCAGCACGACGTGGACGAGTGCGCCAGCCTGCCCTGCCGGCACGGGGGGCGCTGCCACGACCGAGCCGCAGGGTGAGTCCGGGGCCGGCCCGGGGCTGTCCCGGGTCCCTCCCGCTCCGCACCGGGGCCGTCCCGGTCCGCCCGGGTGCGCGTCGGAGGCGGGCGCGCAGCGGGAGCGCAGCGAAGCGCGCAGCAGCTCCTGCCTCTAAACCACCCTCAGCCCTCAGGGTAACCACAGGGAAGGTAGGGAGGCTGAAAAGTTCCTCCACCCGATGTTAAAAGCTCTATGCATTGGTCCAAGCGCAGCCTGGTAGACGGAGCTCTTGCATTCACTCACTAGCATCGACTCTGCATGCTCAGCGTGAGATTTTAGAAACTGAAAACGTGTGTGAGCTCAACTTTGTATCACAGAAAAAAAGCTAGAAGTCAATAAGTGTTATTGATGGAGGCTCTACCCTTTCCAGTGTAAGATTTGTCCTCTATCGTCTGCTTTCCAGTTTTTACAAATCTGTTTTGAAGATACTCATGTCCCAGAATCAGCCCCAAAGTCACATCAGCAAAAGGCAGGCTTGCCTTGAACAAGAGGGGAAGAAATCCTGTTCTAGGAACGCTAGCAGTGTGGTGACATGACACCAACCTTGTGGAGCTGCCTTGTGGCAGCCCTGAATGACTGATCAGGACAAAAAATTTCCTGTTCTCCAGCATAGCCAAAGCGCAACAGCAGGACAGGGAGGTCACCTTGCTCCGGACTGGTTCACAACAGAGCCAGCAACTAACCTGCAAAGCTTTTGAGGATATGCATGTGAGGTGAGCAACTGTGGTGCTCATGCAGGCCAGGCTTAATCACTGTCCTCTTCCTCTGAGCTTTTTAAAGCAGAGGTGCACGTAAGAGCAATTTTAATTGGCTTGTAATACTGCAGGACATCTGCAGAACTACTGGAGCTTCTTTACACAATGAAAAGGGTTGGACAACAAAGCAGTTCAAAGCAGAAGGGTAACTAGCCATTTTATGGTATTTTTTTCAGGAGGGGGTGTTAAAGGGAGAATTGTAGACTTGAAACAAGTTTTTTTCTTTTCTGACTAATGATGCAGTACAATCAAGACTTGTGTGTTTGCCACCAGCTTTCACAGCATTGCTCAAGGGGAGAGGTTTAGCATTTAAAGCTATAAATACAAATACCAAAATAAGCTCCCTCCCAAAATTCAAACCAATTCTTCCAGTGAGGTTTCAGGAATGCAGCAAAGGAGGATTTGACCTTTTCTAAAACCAGTTGCACATCATTAAACATTTATATTGTTCAGCAATATTCCCCCACAATTTCAATTGTGCAACAGCCAGTATACCATTTTAATGTAAAATAAAGCAAAATAATTAAATATCTTATAATTACTAAAAAGGTCATCTGAGCATGTGCATTTATCAGTTGTTTTACAAAGGTCTGTCTTTGCTTATGACATGTACAAGCTGACCTTAATTCCTACACTTAGGCCATAAGATACATGTATTTTATAATAATTAGGTAATTTTTAAAAGTTCAGACAATAGAGATTACTTTCACTTTGTTCGGTATTTCATATATTTGTGCACATACATTAGTTTGTTTACTTCTAAACCCATAGCTTCCTTTTGGCAGCAATTCTACTGCTATCTGTACTGAACTGTAACTATTGGAACTGCACGAGTAATTGACATCTCTGTATTGAAACCCAACAACAACAGTGTTTTCCAACAAAGAGAAATCATCACTTAGTGGTATTTTAGGATCAATTACAATCTTATTTTTTGGTCATTTTTAAAAGAAAGGGATAACTCACTTTCTCTCCCGTTTTCATTTTGTGAATAATATTAAGCCTACAAAAATTGCATTGGAAAGGGCAGAAATATTTTTGAAATTAAAAAAGAAGAAAAAAGTCAATAATTCTAGAAAGAAATGATCTGTCAAAACCTATTTGAATTCACAAGCAGTCCCCTCCTGGGCCAAGCCACCTATTTCAGGAAAATGCTCGACCTTCATTCCTGGTTTCTGGGTTTTCTCCTGCAACACTGGAGGACGTCTCAGGCCCGGACTCTGCTGTGTGAGCTGTTAGCTGAGGCAGCACAGCAGGTCTGTGCCCCTTTGGGATCAAAGCTCAGGTCTGCTGACTTCCAGCCAGACTGAATATTTTATTCTGTGTTGCAGGTACAGCTGCAACTGTACTGGTACTGGATTTATGGGCCTGCACTGCGAGACCCTAATTCCCTTGTGTTGGTCACAACCCTGCTACAATAATGCCACTTGCGAGGACAGTGCTGACAGTTACACGTGCCACTGCTGGCCAGGTAAGCTCCAAGTTCTCCTATAAATATCCTCTCTCCTTTTGTAATAGATAAGTCATCATCATTTGCTGATACAAAACTTGAAATTGTGTGGCCTTAAAAATGCTCTAAGACCTTGGTGCTAGATGGGCTCCATTCCCCATTATGAGGCAGAGCGCTGTGGGTATATTGCTCACTTTCCCCAGCTAAAGATTGGTTTCCTACACAGTAGAAATGAGGAGAAGAAAAAAAAAAAAAAAAAAGACTTTCTTCTTCAGAGCAAAGTCAAAACAGGAGACTCAGCTGGAGCTGGGATCCACCTCCCAGTTTGATGTGTAATCCATCAATCCACACAGTACACACATCACTGCTGTGGCTGACCTTCTTTTACTCTTCACTAAATGGACATTTAAATCAGTCTTAAAAACATACTTTTCAGTGCAAAATAATACTTTTCAGTGCAAAATATTAGTTGTCTGTTCATAGATAAAAATCAAAGTAGGCATTACATTGGCAAAGTACTTTCCTTCATATCACCGATGCATGCTCTTACGTCTTGTAGCGTGGGGTGAAAACACACTGGGCTGTGTTTTTTTTTGTTTGTTTGTTTGTTTTTGTTTTGGTGTTTTCTTCTACCAGCAAGTCTTGGTTTGGGAAAGTGCTCCTGCACACCAATGGGAACACAGGCACTAAGCTCTCCAAGAGTATTTGCAAATCTTTCAGCACATGAATGAACTACAAAGGCCAACTCCCTGCACTCCCATCTTTGGGAGCCGGTGCAAAAGACACGGAAAGCTTTGCACAACCAGAGAGCAGCACAGCACAGCGCTCCATTACTCACACAGGTGTCCATGTTACTTCCTAAAAAGAAGCCAAGTCCATACAGCACAGCAAAGCTCAGCTAGCTTACACAGAACAGCCATAGCAACATGCAGCTGATGAGCTTCAAGAGGCACTTTTAGCACATGACAGACTCTGAACCCAAGCGCATCGCAGCACATACTCACAATAACACTTTCAGGTCAGGAATGAATTGGCAGCCCAACAATTAAACCCCTTCTTCCGATTGTTCTTCCCAGGCTATACTGGTGCCCGCTGTGAGACTGACATCAGCGAGTGCAGCAGCAACCCGTGCCCCGCCGAGGCACAGTGCGTGGAGCGCTCGTGGGCACACTGGTATGGCAGCATCCCCACGCTGCCCTCCCACTTCAGCTACGATGAGGCAGAGGGCTACGTCTGTAGCTGTAAACCGGGATTTACCGGTAAGGATCTTTCGGTAAACGTAGGAAGTAATGTCCTGCAGTGTTCCGTGGTATAGGCGTGCTGTAAATCAATCTGTAAAGTTTGGGGTGTTAAGGCGTCATAGTGCAGAGGGTCCCTCTGGTGGTCACGATACACATGTTCCGGTCGTAATTTGGGATGGAGGGTTTGTTGCACAAGTTGTGAAGCTGGCAGCAGGCTCCGGAGATGACCCCCAAGCCAAGTCCATACAGCAAGAGAGATGCAGTCTCTCCCACAGTCCTGCCTGCTAACCCTCATTATTCAGTCACATTTGCTTGAGTTATACCATAAATATCCTAAACTTGTGTTAGTAGGTGTTTCATCATGAGTTTGAAATGCACAGCATACAGGTATTGTATTAAAAAAAAAATAATAATAATAATAATAGAGTGTCTTCATGAAGCAGCCATGAAGTACAACTCTCAGTCTTTCAGCATTTGTCTCTACACTACTCCTGTACTTCTACACAGTAGCACTGGGGACTGCCAGGAGCACTCCTCCGTGTGAGCATAATACCAGATTTACAAAAGATGTTGCAATCTCATGTGTTGGTGATGTTCCACAGCCTAAATGAAAACAAAACCAAACAAAAAAAAACACTCTGTATGCACCTATGTTCTTAGGAAAAGAAAAAAATAATAATAAAAAAATTGCAGACAATCATAATCCTAAAAAGACGTGCTAAGTTTTGTGTTTTGTGTTTAACATACCCTGTAGTATTCTGCACAGACACTAACAAGCTGGCTTTGGATTGCATGGTTCTAGGTGTAGAGTCTCCATTCTGATATTCCTTCTGAAGAGAACATAATTTGTAGCTAGATTAATTTAACCAGTCCACTTTCTCATTCCATTCATCTCCTGCACAGCTGCTAAACTTCCCCTGTGTCTCCCACCGGGCTGCATGACTGATCTCTGCAACTTAACAGATACAAAAGCATACAGAGAGTACAACTTGTGCTCTGAATTCCCAATTGATTTTTCTTCAAAGGCGCGGTGAGACCTGTTTGCTTTTGTTCTGCTCCGTCCCCGTAACTGTCCTTCCCTATCCTGTCACTAAGCGTTGCTGTTGTACTTTTGTTCTGCCTAAGAGAGCATAACATCAGGCTTCTGCTCAGGCTTGTTATGTCCCCTGGTTATGACCCTTTCCTCTTCCAACTTCTCTTCAAATGCTACTTCTTTCTCTTTGCTTCCTTCTAGCAGTGTCCAGCTGTCAGGTTTCTTTTCCTTCCCCTCTTGCTCTATTTTAAAACCTCTCATGCTCTGCATGACGACTCAGAAGGTGGTTCCTTGTTTAGTCATCACCATTCTTTATCCTCCCACTTCTTCTATTGCCTACACCTGCCTTGTTTGCCTGATTTGGGTCAGGATTCTGCTGGTTTTAGTCACACAGGGGGGCTCCCTTACTCCCCCAGGGGTCAGTGGACCCATGTGCAGGCATACTCTAAATGATTGAGATTGGTGATCTAATGAAAAAAAAAAAAGTGTCAGAATCTATTAAATCTATTAATCTTAAATCACTTTTTTTCACTAGATAGCTTCTAAATAAAATTCAAAGCTCTCCAGAGATAGGATGGCTGACAGAATTCTAAGAGACTCTGCAATTCCTACTAATATATGCAAATAACTTTACATAAAGCCTTTATATAAGTTCAGTTATCCGCATACCTGCTGGAGCTATATATAAATGTCATTAGCAAAAGCAAACAAACAAAAAACACACACAAAACAACCCCTCCCTCCCTCCCTCCCTCCCAGAAAATAAATAAATAAATAAAACAGTAAAAAACAAACAACAAACTATTTTTAGCAAAGTGTGCTTAGACAGCTGGAAGCAAGAAGAATCACCTTAAACAGGGATGGTTGTAAAAGCTGCTGGTGAAATGCCTTTCAGCCATGGGCTGCAAACTAATGTCAGGACAAGGTTAATCTTGCCACTCTTGTCAGCTCATTCGCTGCCTGTGTTTTTCAGTCTAAATTTTAAATTGTTTTCTTCCTGGCCTGTGTGAAAAGCAGGGTAGTCAGGTAACTTGCATATTTGTAGAGAAAACAGCAGCATTGCTCTAACTGGCAGCGAGCATCCCTGGGATCCTAGGCTGTGCTCTAACAGCTGAAGGAGACCTGGCTGGTGGAGATTGAGCTAATGTGAGGAAACTGATTTGCATGGGAATAACACCATTGCTAAAGGTCGGGAATTCAGCAATGCCCTTAGGTACAACACATCCAGCCTCCCCAGTCCTCCTAGTAGCACTGAGCATTTCTCTCTGGCCTTTCTCCTTCCCCCAGGTAATCTGGGAATGGAAAGTGCTCAAAATGAGCCCCAGCCTCCTCGCATGTCAGAAGAGCTGAAGGCATGTCCTACAAGAAGAGGCTGAGGAAACTGTTTACACAATTTGATTCTAAATAATAAAAAGTAGTAATCCTGGTGTGGCAAATTTATCCTAGCCAGGATTTTTTTGAGTCCATTAGATAGATGCCTTATCCCACATCAAAGACAGAAAATTCTTGAGGCGCTTCTACAAAGGGTTAAACTTCTCCAGCTCCCTTCTAAGTCAAAGGGCCTGGGGATACTCAGATTTCAAGAGGTTTCAGTACTTCTGCAGTAGCAAGCCCTAGATTTTTGATATTACCTTGGTCTGCTGGCCCCCTAGCACAAAAGTACTTTTAATAGACTGTGCTTTCTTTTAAAGGTCTTGTGATTTGTTACTGCTAGCTGAAGGCAGCAGTTATCCTAGAACTTCATCCTTTCATATCGCGGATATATTGTATTGCTCTAGCACTGCACGTTTTTTAAACAGAGTGTGATTTGAAAGGTTCAGCTTCTCACTTTCCTCATGAAGACACGTGGGAAAGGAGGAAAGCAGAGCTATGGCTTTGGTACTGACTCATTTCACCAGGTTGTAATAAACTTAACACCATGTCAGAATTAAAGACTCCCTGAACCTGCAAGCTCTGTCAAGTGACACATTCCAGTGCTGAGCTGAGCCTGAGGAGAGGTGAGTGTGCGAGGCAGGTGGTCCTGCTCCCTGCGCCCTGACAGTGGGACAGGGCCACCAACAGGGCTGAAGATCATCCCTTTGGCTTCAGCAGGAGTGTCAGAGGAGCAGAGCCCACTAACTCCTTTGTAGGCAGGGTGCCTGCTGCCTGCCAACATGCAAACGAGCGCTGGCTGATGAGGACCTTACCGCTTCTGGTGTCTGGTTATCTGCCGTGTGCCAGCTGCGCCACCAGCACTGCTGCTTGCTTTGGCGTGAAGAGTTCCCGAGCATTTCTTTGCCCTTTTTGTTTGTTTGCCTCGTTTCCTGTTTTTCCCGTTTAAATCTCCTTGGCCCCTTTCCCAGTCTGTTGGACTGCTGCAAGAGAAAATGATACGATCAGACTGGTGTCGTATGTGTGTTGAATTTCTGGCATATGCATGGGGGAAAGAAACTGTCTCCTGGAGCCAGAAGATGAGGCAGATAAATGGCCAGTATGGGAGAGTACTGAGCACTCAGCTAACTAAAGAGAACCTCAACTCAAATACTGAACTGTGAACGTCATGGGACCAGTGCTTAAAAACTGATTCATTTGGACTCTCATTTTGCACTTCAGCCAGGATGAAAGAAACACAGGCACACAAAGCATTGGGCTTCCATTTCTCTGCACATCTTTAGATGCTGCTACAGGCAGACCAATTGGCAGATGTCATGGCAGACTGTCTCCGCCAGCCATAGCTCTCTTCTCTAGCCTCCTTTTTGTGTGTGACAATATTATACAGAACATAAACGTTATTTACCAACAACGGGTAGGATGCTAGGTACATTGTCGCTAACGTGGGAAGCTTAAAACACACACATATATGTAAGGTTTCTTTTTTTTAAAAAAAAGATCCCATTCTGAACCATTAGTACAATTATCACAGAGCTGCCAACTATCTTAGATGTATAAAGTGATGTGAGTCTTACATAAATGAAATCAGACAAATAGCAGAGTTCTCATCTAGTCCCCAAATTCCAAAATTTTTATTTCCTCATCTGTCCTTCAGCTGTTCACACCACAGCAGTCAATCTTTCCTCTATCACAGCAGGTTAATTAACTTCATTTGATGGGCCATCATCACAGTTTAAAAGGTTGTTTTATCTTGATTCTGAAGACTTATAAGACAAGGCTATTCAAGGGGCATTCACCTGCTTTCCTTTTCTTTGCCCAAGGAAGGGATCAGGAGAAAAAAGGAGATACAGAGAAAAAACATGACATTTTTCATTGCAGGGAGACAAAAGAAGAGAGAAGCTGGGCTGGCTTGAGCTGGTAGGCTTTTTCTGCTCCCTTCCCAATCCTCTTTTGTGAAAATAATTTTTTAGATCCCTCCTGATATTAAATTCTTCAAGGTCCCAAGGGAAAAGAGGTGGTCCTTCCTGATTATTGTAGCAGTTCATTGTCTCTGGGAGGGCTTTTCTACTGACAGAGGAGGAAAACAGAGAGCTGCACTTTCTCCCAGTCTTTTATAGGCCAAAAATATATAACAATGGGTAGCCAAGCTTGACAAGCTATAGCAAGTTAGGTCAAAGAGACCCATCTGTGCTATGATCAGTATGCCTGGTCATGCCAGGTTCCCTTTGTGGCTTGTCAGACAAAGAAATGGCCCAGGAGGTCAAGGTGGCACTTCACTGAAGTGATTGTGAAAATGGCTTGGCAGTGAATTTGACAAAGAAAGCAGTAGGGTAGGTCGACAAGAACGATGAGGGAGCTTATGGCTGTGCAACCACACATCTTAACAGATGAATGTGGCAGGGTGGATCATGGCAGCACCTAGTTGTTCCAGAGGGAGAAAGAAAGAGATGGCGAGCACATGGATTCTGCATAATAATTTCATGATCCTACCTCCAGTCCAAGTTAGGGAGGTGTCCCTGGCACCTCCTACCTTTTCAGTGGGACTCAGGCTGCCCCTGCAGGCAAAGTGAGCATTCAAGTTCAAAACCAAAAGGTCAGGAGGTGCTGTTAGCTT